TGTAAAATGTTTCTGTAATATAGCACTTCGACTTGAGAGCGCGTCGAGGTGCGTCTTTCGCAATTAAGCACCCGTGCTGCCATGAGGGACGATTAGCACCCAACAYCTTTATCCTTTTTACATACAAACTATAAATATACTGTCAAAGTCCTAGAAAACTCCACTATACTGTCTAATAACGGCAACCAAAGCTACTTAAAGACACTGACAGGTTTCATAGCCACTACGTTTCACAAGACAAGYCCAAGGGACTGGAKSAGATGTTGGCACGCCGCTCAAGATGGATGGGATATTCGTTTCACATTTCATCCTCAGTGTGACGGAAAGAAAGCCACKGTGACGATAGTTCGTGTTGGTCAGTACGTGTTTGGTGGATTCACCGATAAATCCTGGCATGCCGGTAAGGGAAAAAGGTTGTCCTAAATGAAATGGTTTAGTTTTCTCTAAATGTCCATTKTCTTATGCTACCCGACCATTTTATCTTATTTTAATCGTTTCCGCTGACAACTATTATCAATGACATGCGGGCACCGAAGATATTACGATCTAAACTAAATTCTCTTTACATAGCGTCTTGTCACTTTGGCATTGAGTGTCAGTGTTCATAGCTGTTAGTCTATCTCCTCCTTAAATTTGATCGACCAAATTTAACATAAATAAACAATTCTATTTGTGATTAGCCGCCGCCTACACTAAGTCATCAAGATCCTTCCTATTTTCACTGTACAACACCAAAGGATATCAGCCCATCCAGTTGAACCTAACAAGACAAAACCACAAGATGTATGCTATATATGGCAATGCAGGATATGGGCCAACATTTGGAGCGGGATTGCATGACCTGYATGTAGCTAATATTGCAATAAGCAATAAGAATTCATACACGATAGTAAATAGCTACAATCCCCCTCCTGGWTGTATCATTGGTAGTGCTTGTACTTACTTTGCTGGTTCACATAAGTTTACTCCAGATGATGTGGAAGTGTTCTACTACAACGACCTGCAGACAAGTAAGTTAGGTWGACTGAAAGCGAAAACAAATCAACCTTTAAAACCCTTTAAACATGCAAGTCTCAATGTTGCATTGCATTGCATGGTTTTGGACGAAAACCTTTTKCCCATTCATCGAATATGTGTTGCAAAATGTAGACACGTACTRTTGAGAGGAGGCGAAAAMTTAATATGCTTGAAGGAACTATTTGAGTCAATTCGGATGAAAGATATCTTGTAATTCATTATTTTGAGATTGTAGCTGGMAATTGGCAATTGGATGGAGGTGACGTGATGGCTAAGATTTTAAAAYTTGATGGCTAACTTTGGCTGACCCTAATAACTTCTTTCAATCAAATCAACGTCAAAACGTCTGCAAAACCCTAAAATCTACCGTCGGCCTAGAGTTATATATACAAATTCGAATGAATCTGCATTAGTTGAGATCATGCACTATTTGATTGACACAGGAGGACTTCAGAATTCCACCATCCTCACTGACTACGGTAACGACAGCTACGTGAAGACATTGGAACTCTTTATAAATACTGCATTACATCAACCCAATCCAAGCCAATGGGTGAGATGTTGGCACGCCGCTGAAGATGGATGGAATACTCGTTTCACATTCCATCCTCAGTGTGACGGAAAGAAAGCCACGGTGACGATAGTTCGTGTTGGTCAGTACGTGTTTGGTGGATTCACAGATAAATCCTGGCATAGTGGTAAGNGATATCAACCCATCCAGTTGAACCTAACAAGRCCAAACCAYCAGAKKTATGCTATATATGGCAATGCAGGATATGGRCCAACATTTGGAKYGGGATWKCATGACCTRCATGTAGCTAATCTTGCCATAAATAATGCAAATTCACATACGGTAGTRAATAGTTACCAGGCCCCGCCTGGKTGTRCCATTGGTGYWGGTTGTACATATTTCTCTGGCTCACATACGTTTACCCCGAATGACGTCGAGATTTATTACTACCACGAAGAGCATACTGATTGATACAGATTKTTACGTCCGATGCATCCATGTTTTTTGTTTTCTCAAGCACATTGTTTTACATAATTTGCAACATAAACGTCGCTAGGGTAATCTGCATATTCTAAAAAAAATACAGGAGAAACGTGTGAGTGTGGAGGAGGGGGAGGGAGATTTTAAAGAAGGCGATTGATTTAAAAATTTGCCCCGGTATTGTTTTGTATTCGCACCGGTCAAACTGTTGCACTATCCGAAATGCTTTACTCTACTTATTTGAGAAATAAAGTCCAATATTGTCAAGACTTTTTTGTCTTTATTGAAAGGGCAAGTTCCGGAACTCCTTGAACTACCCGGTGCACATGCTCCTGTATTATTCCCTTTAAGCACTAAAATTTCAGCGTTACATCGTAAGTGGGACAGCATCCAATGCCATAAATCAGGGGTACTAATTGTGCATACACAAAAAACAGTAAATTTAGATCGAGAAAAAATACTGAGTTTATCAACACACGCGCTGAAAGCTTGGCCAAGTTGTTTGCGGATTACTTGTCCAATGAGGTGGTACCAAGATAAATACACTGTGTCTTCGATGGCTAGTTCTATTGTGAGTGAGTGATTAGACGAAAATAGATGCAATGCAATTGTTCTTGCTGTCTCTTTACGTGTTTATTCGCATATGATATAATACAGTACGTATACTTAGGTCAGCAGGTTCTCCTTCATTATCATCTCACCTTGATATCTATTGCAAATATCGATCAGTGATACACGTATCCGAAACACAGAGATCGTGTTCAAAACTGTCAACATGTCACTCTGGACTTTTCTTTTCATTTCTCTGTGTTTTATCGCTTTTGAAACGACGCAATCTATCCTAAATCTTGACAATAATGATAAAGTAGTCATTCGGGACTTTTATAAAAGTGCAGATGGAAACGTTTTCTCGAAATCAGGAACTGTTTTATCAACTGAAACTACTAAGAGCAAAAAGGAATGTTGTTTCAAGTGTGTACAAAACAAGGAATGTTTGTCAGTGAATGTCATCACTGTGGACCAAACGAGTCTACGTTGTGAGTTGCTTAATTGGACAGGAACAGGCTACGAACAGTACCTCGTGCCGAACATCAATTCCAAGTTTATGCAGATAAAGGTTAGAAAAAACTTTCACAGACAAAAAAAAGAATATCTAGGAAACTAAGTATATTTCATATTTGGAAATATAGCACCTCCACGAAAAAAAATCGAACTACTTCACGAGAAAAGGAACATTTCTTCTCGGATTTTTATGAATATTTAAAGCGTCTGAGAAGATAAAGCTGACAGAAGAGCCTCTTATTTTCTTTTTTTTTTTTCCTTTTTTCATAATTTAAAGTTTAAAGTGTCAAAAATAACAAAGAATCGCAGCCATGAACATAATAAATTAAGAGCCGAAATATTTTTTCAATTTCTGGGGAAACTTGAATTGTTCCGAAACAAATATTTTGAAATGTTTTCATTTGGAACGAAAAACAATTTCCAGCCCCTTTGTGGCTATTAAAAAAGCAATCATCAATCAATCCATATATCTTTGACAATACTAGGGTGTATCACATAAAATTTTAATTTCAATTTTAGTTAAAGTTCAGGCGTACCATGCAGTGTTTTTTAATTCAATCAAAACATCACTACGTGATGAACAATAAGTCAACTTCATTCTTACACTAAATAACAGGTGGACTTGCGATTATCTACTTTGTTTACATTCAAAAGATAAAAAATAGTAAAATACAGTACAATATAAACAATCCTAACTTCAGTTAATACAAGACCAGCATACATCTTTATGAGAAATTTCTCAAATATAATTTCCAGTGCTATAAAATTTATTGTAAATTTCAGTGTGTGATTGGCAAGATTTTGCAACCCAGCATACATTAACTATAAAATTTTAAGCGAACAATTATTTTTCCGAAAATGATAGCAGTTTGCGAGTAACGACCGGTTTTTTTTTGGCGTGAAGCAAGTACGATTAGCGATGATGATAATTGATAGCATCTGAACTGAGCCTTACAAAAAGTCGTCGCTCACTTTCTCGTACTTGAAAATTGCTAGAAAGCATAGTCTACATTTTTAAAGTTCATGTTAAAATGATAACATTGACGGATTTAGGAAGTCATAAAAGGA